ATTAGCGAGCGGCAATAAGGACCTTGCCGTAAGCAAACGTGTGGGTTTCATAAGCTACCGTAAGCAAAATCGTTCCTCATGTTGCGCCGTAAGCCGCCGTAAGCTCTTAGTTAATCTTAGTTGGGGCTTTCCACGTTGCCACCGTAAGCGTTTGTCAAAAAGCCCGCGCCGTCAGCTAAACCTGGGTTTCGTAAGCCACCAGCAAATTCTTTACATTTCTTTACCGTCAAAGAAGATAAGGATTTTGACCCCCGCTCATGTTTATAACCCACACCAGATGTGCAGCAGGCTCTCCATTTCCAAGACGACTACAGAGTCTGAAAACAAGGCCTCAGCGCTGTTTTGTGAGAACACTAGTGTGGCAAGCTGTTACAGTATAGCTTTGCTCTGGACCTCAGCATTGTGTTTCAGGACGATAGAGAGGCAATATAAGGTGGCAGCTTGGCAGTCCTCCTGCTGCTGCGGCTGTTGTTGTTGTTGTTGTTGCTGTTTGCACTCATCCCGCAGTGTGAAAGGCAGAGGCCTTTTTTTGGTCCTTTAGCCTTGAATCTGAAGCCATGGCTCAGCATCGCTGCAAGCGTTGCAGATCGGGCTGGAGTTATCGCAATAGAGGCCCTGACCATTGTCATACAACTTGATCTATGCTGTGTCAACAGTTGTTGACAGATGATCGCCGTTCGCCTGGCAGTGTCTCCAGGACTTGTGACCCTGCTGCTCGTGTTCGTGGCTGGCTCTAGCCAGACACCCTTCATCCGCTCTGCAGCCCTTGAGCTCAACTTTGGGGCTAGGGTTGTAGGATTGAGAAGCTCCAACCAAGGCAATTGATAAGGGAGATTGGCCTTGGACTTTCCGCTTGCACTCAGACGACTGTTTCGAGAGATCTTTAGAGGAGGTCTTGACACCAAATGGTGCAACATGGCGCAACCTAGAGACCTGATGCTGACCATTTCCGCATCTGTTGCTGCTTTGAATTGCGCATGCCCAGGTTTCATAGCTCTAGCCGTGTTTTGCGCAGCATCGGCTATTGATCTGCCAAAGCGTGTCTGCAGGAGTGGTCAGACCTTGCAGAGCTGAAGGGGTCTGACACCCTTCCGCTCATCACAGACTTTGGTCTTGATCTTGGTCTCAATGGCAGCAAAGGCCTGAAATTAAAGATGTTACAGGGAGAACATAGTCACATGAAATTCCTGTTTTGCAGAGGTCCTGGAGCCATCCAGACCTTTCCAGTGGAAGCTGCTGTGAATAGGATCGCGTTCACTACAGGGACCAACCAGAAGCGGCTAATCTGGATACCAAACACTCACAGCCTGGGATGTGCTGTGCTTATACCGCGAGAAGTGCAGCAGGTGAGGTGCAGAGTAAGCCGAGCATGTCAGCATTGCTGTTTCTTAGCGCGAGTCCCACCTTTGTGTGCGGCTGTCGCAGGTGTTCAGCTGTCTGGGATCAGTGGCTCATGCAGTTTCATCGCCGACTTCGGCGTGACTTGGACCGCAGAGTCAAACAAACGGAAAGTGCCGCTGCTTCATATGTAGACTCTGGCCGGATGCCGTTGCAGGTGCTGGACATCCCAAAGATAGGATGCTTGCGCAGCCGAGCAGGGCTTCGGCTCCTTGGCTGAGCAAGCTGGAGCCGCCCGATTCCCAAGAGGTTGCAAAGGATTTGCACGCCACCACAGTCTACAGTCACAGCTTGGACACTGAAATCAAAGTGCCTGGGCAGGCTGAGCTAAACTTTGCCTGTTGATGCCTACTGGAACATGTTTGAAGAAGGTACAGCCCGCTGTATCCAAAGGGCGCCCTGGAGCTCGGCTTCCGAAAGGCCATGGCACGTGTGTTGAACGGGACTGAAGTACGTACTGGTACGCGGAACATGCATGTCAGGAGCTGCGACGTGACGCATCCCAGGGATATCAGCTGTTCATGGGCCTCCAGTCAACAGGCCGCAATATGGAAGGGAAGATTCGTGCAGAGGAGCGCAGTGCAGTTGTTGATGCAGCATGCTAATTATTGCCAACTTGTTTCTGTGCCTTGGATTGATGGTTGAAGAAGTAGTTGGCGTAGTTGAGATCCTTGCTCAGATTTGTGGTTACGGATGAGCAGACAAGGCTTAATCACGTTTAATCAAGAGCCTCTCAGTCAGCTGCCCGGGGTGTGGTGAGTCCGCTAAGCTCGCTGCTTTCTGCGAATGTGTGCTTGAATGCCAGTTCCCACTGCCTTGAAACCTGACGCAGCCTGCCATTTTGGCTGCATCACCTTTGGTAGGGTATGGCTGATGCAGGTGACGATGAGCGGTTGGACCTTCTGGCAGACATCGGTGCGTCGCTCGCCTGCACCTGCCAAGACTTAGAAGATGCAACTCCAAACTTCTCCGATCCTGGCTTGACAGTTGCTGATCAGCAGACTTGCCAGCGTCCACGTGCGATCAAGACCAAGTCAACTCATGAATTTGTTTTCGAGAGAGCCAGTGCAGGGGAAAGATGTCGTCTACTGTTGGGGAGCACAGTCGGGCCACGGATTTGTGGATTAGCTTGTCACACCAAGTCATTGGTTGAAAGTTGTATTGTCTTGAGTCTTCAGTCTTCCCTGTCAAGGCATTTCGACTATCTATCCTCTATACGGCTAGGCGCAGGTAGTCGCAGGCAGCTTGTGGACCGGCGGCTTTCTAGCTCCCTTTGCACTCCAAGCATGCTTTGCCATTTTTGCCTCACGCCGCAAATTACACTTCAGCCAGAAATTTGGATCACAACAACCCAGCCGGACAACTGAAACCGAGGATTAGCGAGTCAACCGGGCATTGAAACTCACCAGCCAACTTAGAACGGGCCCCACCCCCAACCCTGGGATTGTAAAACATCCCTATTGTTTGTGGGTAATGCCCGGGCTTTTCATTGAGGTACTTCTGAATTATTCTGAATTCATAGCTTTTTACATTCTTTTGTTGTACAGTCCGGCTACTTGAGGAAATATGACTAAGATTTGATTACTATCTTTGCGCGTTTTTTCCAAGCCGTTTGGTCTTTAAGAACAGGTTTGCTCAAACATTGTTTCCTGTCTCGATCTGGTGTAGGGAACTGTTGACAAATCGTCTTTAAACTGCCGGGGGTGGGGGTCTCAAGTTCGCTGCTTACAATTTGCAACTAATCGCATCTTACCTGAGCTCTACTGTTGGGGCTAAGGTTAAAGCTCTTCAAGAAGGCACGTGCCTTCTACCGATTTTTATGGGGCTTCGGCGGTCCGTACGAAGGAGTGGCCTCGGCTTGCGCGCTGCACGGTGCTTCACGGTGCGACGGTGTGGTTCATACTCGCACACTCTTAGAAAACTCGGGGCATCTGCTTTCCCAGAGAGTTGGCATCGTCTTCATTCGGAACAGAAAGATGTCCAACGACGCTCAATGGCTGCCAGGCCTTTGTTTCAACAGATTTGTGCGTTTGTCTGGTTGCTGTCCGAACTAGCCATCAGTCAGTCGTGGACCTGTCACACGTAACGGATGACAAGCTCGCAGCGGCTAGGTTGCTTTCATTTGATTCGTACAAGTCGTGACATCGACGGACATGCGTGAAGTGAGCAGTAAGAAGCTGCCTGGACGAAGGACCGAAGTGGAACCAAATGGGTTCCTCACTGGGCGTCACACAGACGGACATGCCGCCCCACTTGCGAGGCGGGCCGGTCGGCATGCAAGGCCTTGGGTGGCTCACATGGCCTGGCGCTGTAGTGCAATTAGGTGTTACTTGATGATTTCCGGCGTACCCACTCAAGTCATCAAGTCAGGGACAGCCTCTATTCTTACTATGCATCCAGGGCAGCTGACAGTTGGCTGGCGCACCGGTCTCCTTGACGTCGGCCTAGTCACTTGGATTTCTGGAGCACAGGATCTGCGCTGCTGCGCTTGCCTTCACATTGTATGCTGTGTGGCGTAAGAAGTTACACTACAGGCAAGGCAATAGGTAAAAAGGTGAAACAGTGTCTGATCGGCGAGAAACACACATTTCCCTCAGGACTTTAACTTTGGGGTTCATTGTTTTTTCCAAGAAGCATGCAATGTTGTGCATGCATCGGAGATTCATTTTCGCACAGCCAATGTGAGGAAAGCGGAAAGGTGCAGCCCGTAGCTGCAGCGCGCAGCGACAAGAAAGCAAAAGCTCAAGGCAAAGCTCGAGGCCAGGATGTTGCATGAGTTCTCCAAAAAGCGTTACTAGGATTCTACGGATAGCGAGGATGTTGAGGACGGCAAGCTTCGGGACTTACACAATGGGAGACAAAAGTCATGTGATTCCTACCCATGCAGGGCGATCCCTGAGCACGTTGCGCAAACTCATTGCTAGCTGCTAGCATATCTATCAGCATGCGCATCTGACCAGGTGAGGGCCATCCAAAGACTCATTTCTAAAGTTTCAGTAAGCGCTAAACAAGATATTGAAAACGTGCACGAAACCTCCACACGTGCAAGGTTGGTGCAAAGGCGTACCAAGGGTTGGCGCAAGCATTAATACATGTTGAAAGCTATTGTTAAGCAGTTATGCGACTAGCCGGTTTTACCGTAACTCTACATTCTGCGAGTATTCTGCGAGCCCTCTTTCAAAATCAAGCACAGCCCTTCCTCACTGGAAGTTGAGACAGCATTGCGCCCTGTAGTGTACGTCAAGTGCTTAGGGTGGCATAGTTATTCCCGAGAGGCCGACATAGCGGCGAATAACGGATAGGCATACGCGGAAGTTCACGCAAGGCACGCGCAAGCGCAAATGGTATTTGCAAGGTCTTGGCACACCATAACCCCGTAACTGGAGAGGGGAAAGGCGGTGTGTCCCTGCCTCGGGAAACAGGCTTGGCCCCTGCATTAAAGGCTTAAAGGGCAAGCGCACAAAACCTTGAGTTGTCTTTTGCTCGGCAATGTTCAGCATCCTACCCATTAAGATCCATTAAGGTACCAAATGTAGCTAATGGCTAGCTCATTTGATCATACTATAAGGTCTTCAGCAAACGTTAAACGAATTGAATTTTCAAGACAATCCTATGCGTGCAAGGGTAGCGCAGGCTTCGCGCAAGGGCGTTCCAAGGAGCCATTCTGGGACAAGGAATTCTGGATACCCCCCAGATGATGATGCTCAATGAGCAAGTGCAAGGCAACAAGGCACTGCCCACGGCATACTCGCTGAGGCTCAGGGCTCCGTACCTGTCATTACTTGCCTGACAGGACTGCGAGACAATCTCTTGGACTCCTCGCCTTGTGCTTCATATTCCATTGACCTGGATGCTCGCCATCTCGGCGAAGCGCAGGAGAGAATCTTAGAAAACTTTGGAGTCCTACATATGGCATCACATAGCAGGAAGCTACATGGGTGGTTGTCAAAATTATGGTCCCTTTTTGGATCCCTATTATAATACGGCACCTAATATTTAGTGTACCCAAAAGGGACCATAATTTTGACAACCACCCACATCATTTTGTCAGTCTTTCCTGCGACATCGCTAGCGTTCATCATCGCTGGCAGGTATCTTGGACAGTTCTTCCTGGCCACCAAGTTCTGGAGCACGCCCTGCACATACGAAGCAGACGTGACGATTCTGGTGGCAAGGTGGGTGCTGTATGTGTTTTTCCGTTCCTGAGGATGTGTCAAGTCTCCTGCAGAGGCAACTTTCACAGCTCTCTTAGAACAGTCGCTTTGTGCGCGGAGAGCACGACTGCGACTAGGCCGGCCGGGGACAAGCATCACTCCTTAGGTTTCGATTGTGGTTCGGCGCGTCTTTGCTTTGCGTGGTTCATCTGATCATTCATTTCCTCATTTTCTTTGTTGGTTGTCGCAGTTGTGTTTGCGATTGCAGGGGTTGTGGTACTGCAGCTGCTGCTAGTGCTGGTTGCGCTGCTAAGTGCTGCTGCTGGTGTTTTTGGTTCTAGTTCTCCTTGTAGTCGTCCTTGCCCCGCCGTCGTCTTCGTTTTTGCTGTTGTTCCTGTTCTTCTATGTTCTTTTTGTCTTCGCCATGTTATGCTCTCCTTGGGTCTCGTTCAGCCACCCGGCTTGCTTTCGGCCCGAAGAAAGCACTTCCACCTACAATGATAGCGGATAGTCACGATATGTTACGATAACATCAGTGGTGCAGCAGTTGGTGGCTGGTTTAGCAGCGCATTGTGGTAGAGTCGACACCCTGCAGCTAGAAAAGCCTGGCCAGAGTCTGGTTACGGGGGTGGTGGTTGTCTTCGAAATGCCTGCAAGCTGAAGTGATTTCCATGATAGGAAGGGCTTATCATCATTGGGAAGTCCGCATACCGTGGTGATTGCAGTCGAAGTTGGCAAGGCGCAAGCTACGAGCGAGACTGAGGCTGTTTGAGGGCAAAACCCGGCGGCAAAGCCCGCAAAATATCCTGGAGCCTGCTGTCATGGGATTGTACAAAACCGCGCGCCTCAACTTAAAGAATCGGCGAACCTGATTGATGTGATTGACTGATCCGATGGTGGGCGTTTTGTTTTAGGATTATAAGAGCAAGGAGATTGACAGCAGTTATGGCCACAATTCTGCATGTTCACATGAAGAGTTAAAGATTCAGCAGATTTTCTGGGAGCATCAAGCAAGCAAAGTGGTGGCAATCAACTAGTAGCACGCAGACGATGCTTTCAAGGCAGCTGTCCAAGGCATTCAAAGAAATTTGTTTGAGCTCCTTCTGAGTCAAGATGTGCTGAGATAGCTTCCATGCAAACTACCTGGACTGAATTTGGTGCTAAGTGCTCAGATGCTTCGATTTTCGGAGGGAATGATCGCAGGAAACATGGGATCGCCGTTTTGCATGTGCGAATTTGGTCACAATCCAATGCCTTCTATGTAAAAGACGCATTATAGATTGACACAGGCTAAGGGTATCTAACGGTAAATCACCAGGCCAGAAATGTCGGGGCCAACAGCCTGGCTGTCCAGCCATCATCTCTGGCTTAATCGGCTCGTCATCGCCGACCTGGCAGTTGTAAGATAGATGTTGTAAACATGGCAGGCTCCGGTCCTGGGCTACCCAGCGGAACCAACGAAGCCCCATGATGAGGATCGGTGAAAAGTTTGGTGCACGGACTGCTTGGAGCGAATAGAAGGTGCATATACACCGCAAGGCAAGATGTCTAAATAGCGGTTTCATGACGACATGGCAGTATGGCGGCATAGTTCTGAATTTCATTTTTCTAACAGGATGGCTGCTTCAGCGCATTCTTGCTCTGCCCTAATCTGCAATTGCTTCTGTCTTGTGTCATGTGCTGTATGGACGAACCTGACCGCGTGAACATGTTTGGCATCTTGCTGCGCCTGCTCTGCATCTTCCTGAGGTCTTGCGGAAGGCGATGAAACCATCTCGCTCCGGCGAGGGAATGATAGCACAGCTGAAATGGATGCTGAGATGGGATCTTAGGCTGAAAGCTTGCCAAGCGCTGTCAAACCATGAATACGTCGGAGCCATTCAGGCTGCAGAAGTCAAAGTGCAGATGAGACCAAACAGCCAGCCGAACTCACTCGGCACGAGCGAAAGTGGCCAAGGTGCCATTTCAGCAACTCTGCGCTTGGTGACATTTTCTACGCAATGCAGCAGCTAGAAGCTTAAACTTCCATTCCAAGCTGTCACTACTCGTGACTGTCCTTTATGCCCGTCGAGGAAGCTTGCAGTTGTGAGAAGTTGATGTCATTGCTGCTCTCCGGAAGGCTGTTTAGCAGTGCGAATTTCCAGCATTTCCCAGCCTTCGGAAGCCACAGAGTTCATATCTAGCTTTACACAGTAGCCAGAAGCACAATCACAAGCCTTGCCGCACTGTTCTGGTCTGCCATTATCGCTGTCTAGTTGGCAGATTGAGCGCTGCTAGATGGTGAGGCCTCAAATGCGGGAGGACCCCCTCAACGCCATGCAGCCGAATGCACCAGACATAGAGTAACTTACTAGTCAAAGGATAGTCAAAGGCAGAAAGGGCATCTACTTGTCAAACGACATTTGTTGTCCAATGCTGACAAGAGAGCTTTTCAGAATATTTTTCAGGACATGTTCATTTCACCTCGCCAACTTAAAAGTTGTGCTTGGAGATATAGCTGAACCTTTCTGGCAGTACTGTAGCGGACAGGCTATGACTAATTGCGCACAGATACGACAAACGCTCATTTGGCTGTAAAGAGGCTTGGATGCACTTCCCTTCCGGAGATCCACAATATTGTAGAATGCAGGTGAGGCAGGGTGTGCTGGTTGCGTGCACGCGGCGACCAATGACTACATGAAAGCCCAACCTGCATCCTGCCTGACCTGCAGTTTGAGAGACCCTGCTTGTCGGTCAAACTCGAGGTTCTGCCATGAGAAGCAGGATCCAGGGCAAATTGGCACCGTGAGAGCTGAAGCCCTGGCATTGCAAGCCGCAAGCCTTCTACATTATGCTGTTGCCGCTGCAACATGCTACAGCTATCTACAGCATCCCTGCCGCACTAGGGCCGTAAAGCACAAAGGAATCTAGCTGCTTTCGACATCTTGCGACATAGTCTAGAGCTGAAGCTGACTAGCCTCACAAGTTACAATGGTAGCACCAGCCAGGGCTTAGCTCCAAGGTGCTCTCAGGTTGAGAGCCTGGCGAGGGAGCCAAGAGACCCGCTGCCACAGGGGAATGTTGGCAGCGGGAACCGACTCAATCATTCAGCGTGAAATATCTGATGACTCTTGCTGTCCAAGACCTCTGCAGTGTGAAGCTAGAGCAGACAACATGTTCTAGGTGCATCATGATGCATGATGCATGTGGCGGCCGCGTGCGTGCTTTGCACATCAAGCCGCTGCAGTGCAATCATAAGAACACTCAGTTATGCAAGTCGAGAACGGCCAACACGTCCGACCATGCCACGAGAACATCTGAATAACATGGAACGTCTAGACTTGTCATGATCGTTTTGAGTGCAGAGATTTGACAGTCTGCAAATTCTGATCCACGGTCGTGGTTTCGGCAGCATGGCATGAGAGCACATCGGTATACTGCTACCGCAGCCTGTCTTCACTGATAGGCAGGCTGGGGTTGGCAGCCGCACCAGTGCATCATGAGTTCTGGGGTCGTCACGTAACAGCTCTGGCGGCTTTGCGCTCCGACGAGTGTTCCTTTTTGGGTGCATGATCTAATTATTCCGGCAGGTTTTCTAGTTTGTCAGGGCCTGTCCATGTGCTAGACATGAGGACGAGCAGCCAACTCGCAGGACTGCGCCAATCCATATGTAAAGCTGCTGTCTCGCGACAGCTTCCCATGTGAGATACAGGATGTTTTGCACCGGCAACACAAGCAGCATGAGATTCAAGAAGATTGTCAGAAGCATCTTGGCTCTGCTTGCAACTAAGGATGCGAAAGGAGTCAAGCTCGCAGCTGGTTCGTGACGAACCTGCCTTCAGCTGGCAGGGGACCGAAATGTTGAGCCGATGGTGAAAGATCTACCTGTTTTTTTGTTTGTCATCGTGGACGGGCGAGAGGCCAAGCAGTGCGAGCTGTTTCCTCAGCGAGGCCTTGTTTTCCATGTTGAAAAGTCTTGAAGATCGCAAGGCAAGGTGCGCAGTCAGCAGCCCGAGGGACCTGACAGGGTCTCAACAATTGCTGAACAAGTTGACATGAAAGTACCTGGACCTGGACTAGCTTTCGCTCCATCTGATACCAAGGCCTGGGCTGGAGCGAGTTGATGGAACTGTATGGCCAGGGAAGAAAGGTGTCCGCGTGCTTGCGCGCATGGTCTGCTTGTTGACTTTCATTGCACATGATGCAACAGCTATCCAGTTTTTTTGAAGAGAACACAGCAAAGCTGAAGTCTGGAAACTAATCGGCTCGACAGCCCCGGGCACTCCGCAACCAAGCAGTCTCCCTCGCGTGCATCTTCAGAGTAAGCCCGCACCGGCACCACCAACCCTTCATGACACCTAAAAACACAAACTCATGGCTTATATGAACGCCGAGGGAGGCCAAGTCAACAGAGGATTTGGGGCAAGGTTGTCCTGCCAGGGTTCGGATTCTTTCTAACTTACATCCGGCAGCCAGCCTGATGCCACAATTGACGCACCAAGCTTGACGGCACCCGAGACGCCAATTGTGCCAGGGGTGTGTGGTCTGTAAGTTCTGCAAAAACTCGGTGCGAGTTGCCAAGCGCGGCCCCTGAACCTTAGCCCGCAAAGCCACGCTGGCGAGGATACTAGAAACGCGAGGCAGCAGATGTGTTTGTACCTGTAAGAGTCTACGATCGTGCCGACGATTGATGTCCCGGTATGTGGAATACACCGCTTGCCTTTTCAGCCAAGCACCTCTTTCCCCGGCAGCCTCATCAGCATGGCAGTTAGCCGCATAAGCCCAGTCTAAATTTCCGAACAGCTACCCAGATTGTGCTTGCAGAGTTCTCTTTTGCACCCTCACAGCTGAAGATTGAGGCGGGGTCAGCAAGGAAAGTAGGCCTAAGTAGGCGGACTGCGACGATGAGCATAGATTGGCGGAAGCTGTGCCCAAAAGCGTCGAGGCAAACATAATGTAAGGCCTTCAATTGCATGCTTTCTTCCCTGCCTACCATTGGACACCACACGGTTTCCGTTCGCGGTAGGCTTCAGCCCAAGCAGCACCTACCATATAGCCCACCCAAACAGTAGCCATGGATGCAGCACCACCGACAACTGCAGAGGCAGGTGGCGTAAAAGAAGCTGGGGCCGGATTCTGCGAAGTGTCGTGGCACAAAAGCTGCAGGGAGAGTAGGAGACAGATTGTTCCTGCAAGGAGAGGCGTCAGTTATGCATCCGTCTCATGCGTGCTGCCGGGGGCCAAGGTTGGCTCCTAGCCGGGCAGGTTGCGGGGACGTTTCACCAGAGGCATTTGTCCCTACAACCTCCAGATTCGATGCCTCAGCCTCGACAGAAACGCTCCTGCCGGGAAATAAGGTGGAGAAGTGCCCTGCACTCTTGGCCAAAGGCAGGATATGTTCTTGACATCTAGGCCTCCGAGTGGGTAACCGCGAATGGGCTGAGGGGACGCTTAGCCGAACTCAGTAGGCTTGCACACGAAAGATTCAATAAAGTTGAGCACAGTTGAGCTAAGAGGAGGCTTCTCCTCCAACTTGCCTGTCTTAGCCTTCAAAGATTCAAAAATTAAATTCTGAGCTTGGTTTCAAGGAGCAGAATCCAGACACACCAGGCCTCATGCTGGAAGCTTTGGATTTAGCAGTCTCAAGGCTGCATGGAAATAAAAGCACCAAAGGCAGAAAAACAATCATTCAAAGCATCCGCCCAAAAACCCAGCTGGCGCCATTCTTTCATGCGACTTTTTCTGACTATTTGCAGAAGCGTAGTGAACAAGCCAGAAAGGCATGACAACTGTCAGCAGATGGTATGTTCCCCGGTCCCTCGGGCCAATAGGTACCCTGAATGAGGCCTGGAAGACTTGAAGCTCCAAATTTCGAGAAGCAGATATCACTTCTGCACTGCATGTACTGCTTACCTCGCCTGCACAGGCCGCAGAGTTGGTGCCCCAGGAGCCGCGCAGGACTCCAGCAGCAGGTTGGGTGGCTTACAATAACCCTGGCTCAGACACTCTCGCTCTGATGGCCACGCCTGGCTCTTCAAGGCCCAAGGTACTGGAGAAGCACCGATCCAGCATCTATTGGCGCAGGAGCTTTGACAGGACACGCTGTACACCTGCATTCACAGCACAACTCGCTCCACAAGTCAAAGACATCGTGCGCATGTGTAAGGATAAGCTGCCACTGTCAACGCATGGCCTCGCGGTGGTAGTGTGATAAGGGATGTCTTGGCGATGCAGACGAGCTCTGCCGGCCTTCTTCGCTGCAGCAGCATGCGTAGCCTGCATAGCGATGTCGCCTGACACTGCATTTGTAATGCCAAGAGGTCCACAAGGCCTGAGGCAAGGCCTGAGGCCAGCCAGTTCTTCGTGGGTTCCACGGGTTCGGCTTTCAGGGGTTTCCGTTGAGAGCATGGAGAAGCACCCGCGACTTCCAGTGTGGCCGGCTTGGTTTGGAATTGTGTACATTCTCTTGGACCTGTTGGTCGGGAAGCCAAATGTGGGAGCATGGCTGGAAGACCGGTTTGGCGGCCGTGTTTGCCCCATGATCTTTCGAGACACTGCAGCGTCCGACCCATTCCTACTAGTAGCGCACCATCGACATTCCTTCAACGCTTTTGATCCGTTTCGCTACCTTTTCCGCTTCTTGCTGCCAGAAGGTTTCCCAGCCCATCCGCATCGTGGATTTGAGACCGTGACCTATGTACTTCGCGGTGGGCTTGTGCATCGTGATTCCTTGGGTGTCAAGAAGTCGTACGGTGCCCCCAAGGATTCAGATGGAAGCGGTGAGGATGCTGCCGTGCAGTGGATGACTGCAGGAAGTGGAATCCTACATGAAGAGATGTGGCGAACGGGGGATGTGTGGGAAAGCTCGGATCAGGAACTGTTCCAGATCTGGGTAAACCTTCCACAGACTGACAAGTATGCCAGCCCAAGAATGCAAATGCTTGGGAGACCCGACTCTGAAAACAGCCTTTCCGCTGCTAAACTTGGGGGAATGCTGACTGAAGTTCATGAACGCGGCCCTGTGCCTACTGTAAAGCCCGTGCCTGGGGTCTCAATACGGATCATTGCGGGTGAGGCTGACGGAGTTCGCAGTCCCGTGGAGACTTTCTCGGATCTGGCGATCCTGCACGTGACCCTTCAACCTGGAGCAGTATCCTAGCTGCAGGCAAGAAAGTGACATGAAGTGACCATGAGAGAGGAAGGAACAAAAGACTGAGGTGTGGACCTGGCCGAAGCCTGCTTCATGGAGCTGCCTCCTCTACACACGCAAAGGGGAGGCAGTCCTGCAAAGCAATCAGCCGGAGGTCCTCCCGGTCCATCACACTGCAACCTTGGCCCGATCGGACACTTGAAGTTCCAACATGTTCCAACGTTTAATCTTTTCGTTGGTTGCAAGATGTTGCAAGGCCACCACAACATTCCACAGCTTTCTGTGTTTGAGCAGCCGAGGAAGCACAGGAGGATCTCACCATTACAGTAGACTCCAAGGCTGAGGTTTCAGAGGTCTTGATCCTGGCTGGAGCACCCCTGCGAGAGCCAGTGGCCATGGGCTCTAACATCATCATGTCCCTCGGCTGCTTCAAGTTTGGTATAGAGACTCTAGCTTAACGTCTCGCATTGATCTCAGTATGACGAGTTGCGCGTGCAAGCTTTTTCGCTTCGGGCCTCTGGCGTAAGGAATTCCGATGCGGAATTGGCCCTAGCAAACCGCGACTTGCGGCGCGGCTTTTTTGGCCCTAGCTGGGCTCATACGGATGACGATGCTACCTGGCTGACTGCAGTCACAGATCACTGGGGCCGAATGGCAGACAGTCTCAGACGCTAAACATCGCTGCGCCGTCAAAGATTCATGTGCGGCTGCTCAGTTGATTAATGCGTGCAGCAACACAGGTGGGGGTTCCAGCACCGTTTCGGCTAGGTGTGAGCAGCATGAATTTAGTTGCCATGCTGGGACTCGCCAGAAAAGGTGCGCGAAGCACATGTCATAGTTGGAAGACGCTAGGTTACGGTATGTTACAGTCAACGTCCTGAGTGCGCGGTTGTAGTAGACTGTCTCAGCTGCCAGCTCAAAGGAGACGCTGCGCGAGAAGGCTGCTGCCGCCCGCACTCTGCTTTCAGGGCAGGGGCCTTCATGGAAGATGTCTGAGGTGTTTCCATCGCTGTCAAGACAGCCTGCTGCAGTGTTTGCAATATCTGCCGGGGATCGCTCAGGTAAGCCGAGCATAAGCGCTTCCAGCTTCCACTGCTTGACAGCCCAGGAGATCTACGGTAGAAGAGCTTCGAGCAGCACTCGACGCAGTGGAGGCATCGTGTGCAAGGGACGTTTGTAACAGTCAGCTTAGTTTCACTACTTGCTGCGATGCCCAGTCTGAGCGTGCTGCAGATACGCAACGCCATGAATCTCAACTGACTAAGATTGAGGTATACGTTGCCCCCAAAAGTCCCTGAGCAGGGAAGCGTCTCAAGTGCGGAAGGCCAGCTAGGCAACTACGAAGGAATATTATGTTTGTATTATTATGTTTTTTTTCTTTAATTTTATTTTTTGTGGTTTGGTCCTCTGGTCCCGTGGTCCAGAGTTCCCGGACCCTTTCAAATGCTGTTATTTGCGGTACCCGAGAATCTCCCAAGCCGGCAAATGCTGAACTTTGCAGCAGTTGAAGTGTTCCAAGACAAGCAAATTCTGTGATTTACAGCATTTGAAGCCTTCCAAAACTAGAATACACTGTAATTTGCAGCATTTCCCGTATTTTCCCGTGTTCCAAAATGGAATTGTCAGCGTTGCAAGACCAGTCGATTTGTAATTTACAGCATTGGACATGTTCCACGACCAGCAAATTGTCTAATTTGCAAAGCTTGGAGCGTTCCAATGTGCCTTCGTCCAGCCCTGGTGTGGCTCAGTCCTGGTGTGGCTCCGGTCCTGTGGCCCCCTGGTCCTGTGGTCCTCCGGCCCCGTGGTCTGGAAGTTCCCGGTCCTTTTTTCAAATGCTGTCATTGGCAGCATTTGAAACGGGAATTGCATTTATTTTGTGATTTTTTGTTGTTTGAGTATTTTCTTGTTTTTGGCTTCTTGGCTTTCAGGCTTCTCAGCTTTCTAGCGTCGCGGCTTCCTGGCTTCTGGGCTTTCTTGCTGCTCGGCTTCTGTAGTAGTAGTAGTAGTAGTAGCAGCAGCAGCAGCAGGAGTAGTAGTAGTAGTAGTACTACTACTACTACTACTAGAAGATCAGCAGGGTCGGCTGCGCCGCCAACAACCCCTCCTTGCCTTTCTTAAGGCCCGCCATGCTTGGCATTGTTCATCGTTTTACATCATGTCATGACTCTCCATGGTGTTTTATCATGTCGCATCAAAGTCACATATGTTCATCACCTCCATCATGTCCCGGCAGTTTCCATCAGATCCATCAGAGTCGTGGCTGTGTTTGCAGTCAGGAAGGATTATGCGGATCACGTTGTTTGCAAGTAAGGCGGGCTGCGCCTCCCCAACCCTCCCTGCTTTTTTGAGGCCCTCCAAGTTTGCTGTAACAAAAAAGCATCATGTTTATGCAGATCATTTTGTTTGCGAGGGGCGGGGGGCTGCCCCCCCCCCTCCCCCCCCCGCCTTTGTTAAGGCCATCCATGGTTGTCATTGTCATCGTTTTTTTATGATCTCAATACTTTCCATGATCCCAACCCCCATATTTTTTGTGAGGCCATCCAAGCTTGTGTACACAAAAGCATCATGTCATCAGTAAGTGCAAGGTATGCAGATCATTTTGCTTGCAAGAAGGGGGGGGAGCTGCGCCCCCCCCAACCCCCCCGCCTTCTTTTAATGCAATCCACGCTTCAATTGAATTTCATCAATTTCATGTTGTGCTTCATCATTTTCATCAGCTTTCATTTTCCTTATTTTCATCATTTTCATGAAATTTCAGCATCTTTCATGGGTGATTCATCACTTGTCAACATTTTCATGATGTTTGATGATTTTCATCATTTTCGTAATTGATTCATCAGCTATCATGAAATTCCATCAGTTTTCATCACTTTGCAACATGTTCATGAAGTTGTTTCATGAATTGTCATCAGTCTTAATGATTCGTCATCATTTTCATGATTATTTCACCTTTCTTCCTGATTGATTCATGTGTTTCCATCACTTTCCATGACTTCATGAGTTTTAATCATTTTCATGCTTAATTCATCATTTTTCATCAGTTTCCAACATTTTCATCATTTCTGCATGTTTCATGATTTCTTCATCAGTTTTCATCATGTACCATCATTTTCATGCTTTTTATCTATTTGTCATCACTCCAAGAGGGTCCGAGGGTTTAAAAGCCAGTCACGAGGATTGCGACCCCGACCGACCCCCACGATTCCTTGGACTGTCGACTCTTTTGGAATCCCGACCCCTGCAATCCCTGTGACTGTCGAGAAAAAACGTAAAAACAACAAAAATACAAAAAACAAAACAAAATAATCTTAAATGAATTCCGCAGCCAATTGCGGACCTGCTATTCGCACACAATTTGATGAGGAAGCATCGCATTGGATCCTGGATCCCGGAACTTCAAGGGAGCAGGCGGATTGTAATGCGCAGCTATGGCCTCTAAGGATGAGCATGAACGAACAGAGCTGACAGATGAGCGACTGTTCCAGAAAGCTGGCTTGTGCGTGTGCGTGAGTATATGCTTACATATGCCGACAGATGACAGAGACTTGTTCCCGCTTTTGACAGCCAGCTGCAATGCTCCAACTAAATCCACAGGCCCTGCCACGCGACAAGCTAGCAGCAGCAGCCTTCCTGAAAGTGGCGACCTTTTGAAAATGGATGTGCAGTTTCAGCTGGCAATTAAACCGAAGTCACGTCTACCATCCTTGTGTTTAGTCGTTGGGGGTGCGGTCAGCAAGATTCAATAAGGATAGCACAGCACAATAAAAAGCTTCTGCCATGGCAGTGCCTCGAAAGCGGCGATGCAGCTCGCTGGAGCTGGGCGAGGCTAAAAGCTTTGCTGAAACAAGAAGCTTTGCAAAGAGGGCAGTGCCTTGCTAAGTTGCTTTTTTTGCTTGCAAGGCAATCTCGAAGAGACTTCGCCGTGCCAATCAGCTGCTGCAAGCGGCCATTGAGCCGCAGTCTGAAGCCGAAGCGGAGAAGCAAGGCATGGCGTGCATGGGAACAGTTTTGCGACATGAAAACCTACATGCAAGATGCAGATCCGGCTATCAAGCTTTCTCATTCTTCGGCTGCTGGAAGTTTGGCTTAAACTGCACGGGGTTTTCCAGTCCATGGCAGGAAGCTGCAACGAGTTATTCACGTGTCCGATGATCGCCGACAGTGCTTCAACGAAGCAGTCCGAGAAACGCTGGTGCAAGAAACCTCAGCCACCAACTAGGCTTTCTTTCGCTCCGACCTTCGACAAAAAACGACCGGCCAGACTACAGAAGAGATTTCATACGCTGTGCCACAGTTCCTGGCCTCCGTAGACAAAAGTCGGGGCCAGCATTCTGACATCGGATATTCTGACGGGCTTGCTAGGGTTGTACAGAGTTGTGAAAGGTTTGCACCACCAGTAAGACGCGGCTGGCGAGTCTCTTTCCGACTTTCAATCCCAACCAGGGAATTTCCTAGCAGAACAGCTTATCACTAGTAACTAGCGAACCGACAATCTATCTAGCAGGGTTCACACGAGACGCCCCCGTTGTAAGCATGCGCACCACAAGCTTTTGCATCCTGCATTATCGCGAAATCTGGGAAATGTGGCTCATAACTCTTCTCCCTTGTGCCAAATGCAGAGCTGTCGTCCTCTGCAGAGCCGTGGATGGGGCTGCATGCTGTAGGTCCCGACTTTTAGTCAGTCTTGCGCCGCTCTTCTCCGCAACTCATGCTGTAAATAGGTTGACTAAACTGCCCATGCTCTGCAGGCGAGGTGCAGCCGGCAAAATGGCCAGGTTGCGCCGCACGGCTCCTTACCCTGCGCGCAGTGTCAAGGAGCGTCCTGCAGCTGTGCTCATGGGAAAGCTTGATGGTCATCGCATTGGCAAGGCTTCTGTCAAGTCAGAACAGTATGAAGGGGTTTGGCGCACCAGGACCAGTGATTCAATAGATGAGACGAGTGGATGCCTTGCCCAGGACTGTGCTGCCCAGCGAGGAGCTGCCTCCCGGGAAAGCTGCATGGGCTTTGATGCAACCGGTCAGCGCTTCAACAAACCAGATGACAAGCTGCCGCATGTTGCGCCCAGCATGCTGAACGATCCTGATGCTGTCAAGGCAGCCGCTCCCACCATGCCCAACCAGATCTTTGAGAAGCCCGCCGCCAGGAACGTTGCAGTGGGACATTCCCTACTCAAAGCGCGCTGCTTTTGCTTACGGCGAGGAGCCCGCAGAATCAGCCCATTGTTCGAGCACCTTTGAAGCATGGCTTCGGCAACAGAAGTCGTAGCTGCGAGGATGCTCGCGATAGTTGGCTCAGAGCTCGTCCTCGCTATCTTGGCTACGCAGAGTACGCACGACTCTTGCCTTGATCGCTCACAAGTTCTGCTGCAGTATCGCAACATCAGATGCAACAGGATTCCTACAGTTTTCATAGAAGCATGAGATGAGGATGATACTGTGGTTCCTTCATGGCACCTAATTCAACCCCTGGTACATCAAATGTTCCTAGATTCTGCTGGCGTCTCACCGAGAAACCTTGCTCTTCAATCATGACACCTGAGGCTGGCTCTCATGTGCAGTGCCAGATGCCGAACTGCGGCCGCCCGTGCCCGAGAAGGAGTGGAGAAAACCTATCATCATCCACCAAAGGGCCATCAGGATTTCCCATAACCTTTCCTAGAAGATTCCGCTACAGTAGCGCAGCTGCTTAGGCTTACACACTACAGACAGGAATAGACACTGCCCAGCTGGCTTGCATTTCCTGGTGCCTGCCAACAATTTGCCAGGAGGAGGAGCAAGCATCAGGATTGGAGCTATTGCGACTCCTGGCTGCTCTGTCGCTTGGCATGTGTCATGTTGGCTGTAGATGCTGGGCGAAGCGGGACACGTGCAAAAGGTTTGAGATGGTTGGTGATGCACGCTGGGTCTGTCCCAAGGAAGATTCCCAAGAAGAAGCGACGGGTGCCGCCCATCACACTAGAGGAGGAGAAGCTGGCCGATGATGCCTTGTTTGGCCAAGGCGGCGCAGATGAGGCAGCCGAGCTTAATAGGAGGTAGAATGGGGTCTGGCGGCAAGGCAGGCGCATGCAGGCACATTGCGCTCTTTTCGTGTGGTTGGCGTAGCTTCTGAAATCATTTGCCAAAGGTCATCGCCTCGCGCTTCAGCGTGGAGGTGACCCGAAGGCCTATTAAGAAGTCTTAGATACAAGCTTTTGCAAGACTTGATGGTGCCTCCTCATACACGAGGCAGCTGGAATGTCTGCGCCCGGGCGAATGGTTGAATGACGAAGTCATTAACTTTTACTACAAGCTGCTGCAGGCAGGCTGGAACGGAGATGTCCTGCCTGGATGAACACAGATGAACATGATTTAATTCTGTCCATGTCCAGCCATGGTATAAACCTCATGATACTTATGTGGTTTTTGATTTTGTTTTCGTGCTTAAAACCTGATTTTTTCGGTGCAAGCACGTGCATCGGCCTAGCGCGCTTGAAAATCATCGCTTTCAAAATGCGTCGAATTTTGGTCTTAGTTGTTGTTCACGTTCATGCACTCATGTGCGCTCGACACCACAGTTTCAGCAACATGTTGTCTTATTTGTGCGTCAAATTTAAAGGCGGTCTTTCCGAGCTTTTCCACATCGTTGGCGTTTTTCCATTTGCCGTCGACATCTTCGCATCGTGAACAGGCTCAAAACCACAGTTTCGGCGCGTTTGAAATTTTGTCAATGCTTGTCCCTTCGTGTTTGCCGGTGGGGAACTGCCAAACGCTGCTTTCTCGCTGGGTGTTTCTGCGCGTGCATTCGGTGGGCCTTTCTCAATGCTTGTTTTTATTGCTTGCCCCCTCAATTTGCAGATCTCATTCGCTGCTTTTGTGCTGCCTGCTTCCTCAAGATTCCTCAAGTGCATTCGCTGGGCTTGGAGGGTGGCAGTGACGTGCGAGCCACGCGCTGCGTTTTTCCTGTTTTTTCTTGAATTGCAACCATTCATTCTGCAACAATAAAGTTCGAGATCCGTGATCACGCGTGAGAAGTCGTGTTCAGGCTGCGGTTATTTCTTCTTGTTTCTTGGTGCATTTGGACCCATCTAGTCCATGGGGGAGGTGGCTATGGGGTCTGTGGAAGCCAGCAAGTAGTTTGTAAACAAGAAGGCTGAAGCGGAACTTTTTCAGCAACTCGCCCCCAGAGCCTTCATCACGTTTACGTCCTTTGTACCCTCAGATCTCTGCAATTAGCAAATGGGTGCTTCTCAGCCAGGGGGGGGGCCTCAAATTTGAGAGTATAAGAAGGCTGTTGCCGACATCTTCCCTGGATGACCCCGCACCCAGTGCCCCAAATAGTCAACCGGGCAAGCTCGCACTCTCAAAGCCCAAGCTCCCCACAAGACTCTAAGCCCTGAATTGAACATTCGAGAAGAGAAACAATGCTGAACATATGATATGAACCTCTACGGCCCCTTCCATGCAAAAACCGACCAAAACTACCAAACCCAAAATTAGTTTTTTGCCATGTCAGAATGTTAAATTCGCTTAAAACCCAATTTTCGGCACACAAATCGGGCTTAAAATCCACGGCCGTTCGCGGACCATATATCAAGTAAGTAGCACTACAATGGTTCACCAGCAAGAGATTTTGATGCAGTCTTTGTTGGCGTATGGACCCCAAACAGTGATGGGCAGCGGCAGGAGACTAAACAACATTCGAAGAGTGCTCCAAAGACACTCCGAAGTATTCCAAAAGCGTTCCACAAGCATTCCAGACGATTCTGAAGAGCACTGGAGCGCTCCAAAGGAAGGGCCCGGAAGCGACGACTATCACATTGGGTCCAACAGCGACAACACTTGCAACGGCGAGCCGAAAGTGCTCGGGACCGTTGCGGCAGTGCCAAAACCCGAATGGAGCCTTGACTACAGCACACTTACTTTCAGATACCTCGAAGCGCGGTGTTTTCGCCGGAAAGCCGTGCTGGATCCCGGATTCGCGTAGGTACGCATTCCTGCCAAAGCTAGGGCGTCTCCAGACATGCAGCCTTTTAATCTAGTCCATGTACGCTCATAGCTGCGCAAGCGCTTTGGGACCTTATGTGCGATTTGGCTTCCTCATGCGGTGCCGCACGGTGCCATCCACGTAGGCAACAACATTTTTGTTACACAGCTGTAGCAGAGCTTGAGCAGCATGCGGAAGCCTTGACACCGGGAGGAGAGGAGCAAGACAGGCACGACATCGCCAAAATGTTGGTTCACCAACTCGTTCTTTTGGCCCAAGCTGAGCGGCAACAACAAGGTGTGCGGCTTTCATGTGTGGATTGATGGCTTCGGCTGCATAGCTGTAGCTTTTGACTTGAAGCGCCCTGCAGGAATACAATTATAAGGAAGTGAGGAGATGGACAATCAAGGCAAAGATAGACGTCTTCGAGATGGACTACATCATTTTCCCAATGAACATTGCAGAGACACATTGGGCTATGGGGGCCATAGACCTAAAGGAAAAGGGGTTTCGCTACTTTGACTCGATGTTCAGCACCAGGTTTGCATTGGCCATGATTTGACCACTTGCCTCTGCTGGTCCAACAACAGTCGGGCACGCGCTGCTGGTGTCGCTCTTGCGAGAGGTTGCTCACAAAGCTAAGGCAATCCACCCTCCAACTTCGTAGCTTTCCTGCGGCGATACTTAGCTGACGAGCACAAGGACCGACATGAAAGTGTTTTGGAAAGGTTCCGGCCCTCCCTGTGCTGATAATCTGCAAACCCACTGTGGTGCTGATCCGCCAAGACTATACGTCCTGTTTCTTGGCTCAGTTGTGAACAACGTATACCGCACCATTGCCGTAAGTTACCTGTGCGGTGGTGCCAGTTGCTAGTAACTAGATGTAACTAGTATACGTGTACCTCCTCAACCTACACTGCCATTACAAGAAGCCAAACTTCAGCGCTCAATGAAGTTCAAGCGATGAGCCAGCAAAGAATTCGCAGGCAAAGAAGAGCAAAGATCTCCCAGGTGCCGCAGTTTTCTTTTCTGCAACTTCTGGAGCGAACGGTTGACTAGTGCAATTAATGCAAGCGCAGTTTTTGTTTTGACGGCCTAGCAGGTGTGGATGGCTGGAAGCTTCTCATCCCCGAGCCTCCAGTGCCGCAGCAGCGCAACGGGCAACTTGGTAACAGCAAACCCGGCGCCGGTATGGTTTCAGAGGCCCAGAAATTTCCTGGTTAAGCTCACCTCCCTCCCTCCAATGGATTTGCATGGCACACCTCACACTACGCAACACGACAAGTCATTGTAACATGCTTGCGCCCGGAGATGCGGGGAGGGCAGGCTGCACTTAGATCTGCTAAGCCAGCTGTGAAATGAGCTGTGCCGCTGACCAAATACCTAATGATAACCTCCAGCGTGGGATTCTTGGAGCGACAGGGTTTTATGAAATATCAACCGCGCACCACGTCATTGAATGCAAAGAGCCTCCGAATCTTTATAGTAGTCCAAGCTGATACAACGCTTTCAGTCGGATCCCCACACATGTGTTTCTGCGAGCGGCATGAGTTGTAGATGTGCAAGGTACGACTGCGGCGTTTTCACATGCTTCTTTGCGGACTGCCTCTCTGCCGGAAAGCCGCTGGCATTCGACCAGGCGAGCTTACCTCGGACTTCAATCGCGACCGCGCGACCTAGAATCTCCAAGCTAAGTTAGCCAGCAGATTTCACAGCATTGTTCGGTTCCTCGGGTCCTTGATGGAAGGATGACATGCCGATCCTCCGGAAGAGGTCACATGCGTTTGTGAGCGTCTCGCTCAAGGGTAGCTTGGCCAACATGCAATCACTTGCCAGGATCGCTGCTCGAGTCATGAAAGCAGATGAGAAGTTTGACCCGATCCTGTAGCTCAGCCATCGGACCAGAACTTCTCTTGCTCTGGGCTTGCCCCATGACGCCCATGACGGGAGATGCAATGTTCAAACACCTCTACAAAGCTGTCAAAGTGCCAAGAGAGACACTCTTGCAGCTCCAGTCCACGGTGATCTGCAGACTAGTCTGCTGGTGAGGCATTCGGCGGATAAAGCAAGAAGTGCGTTCCAGATCGAGGGATGCGCATTGGGACCTCTTGAGATGCAGCGCAAGATTTCTTTTCATTCAAGGGCTGCGTAGCGAGACTGGAAATTCCGTATCCAGGTGGATCCGGAAGTGTTGGCCCGCAAGCTGCAACGCTTGGAGGTAATCCTGCCTGCAAGCTGCCCCTGTTCGAGATGCCATGACCCTCCTAGATTCTGCTGGGTTCTAGCCGTTTCTAGCCACAGCAGTGCGAATTGGGCTCTCTGCACATGTCGCTTCCATGCACTTCTCATTTCTCAAGCTCTAAAGATTTGGAGGACAGGAGATGTCCAGCATAGCTTCAGCTCTGACAGGCCTTGGTGCAGAATGCTTCAGAGGTCGCTGGCCCAGGCCTCGGATGGCCCCAGTGCTTGCTTGCATTCTGCAGTACGTGCGCAGTCGGCTTGATCCGTAGGGCCAACTAGCAAGAGCATTTCTGAGAAAAGTCTTTCGAGACTCATGATGCAATTACGCCTTGGAAGAAATGTTGGCTTGCAACCGCTGTAGCTTGCCTTGCCCCCCCAAAAAACTTTTCAAGTCCGGCAGGTGTTGAATGGATGTTCAGGGTTGTCGCAGCTAATGATGCTTGTGGATGCCCTACGCGTGATGTCTGAGGGCTGTGAGAGGATCCATAAAGGATTTCCGCCTTGCTTGCGTTTAGATTTTGCGGCGGCTCTTGTTGGATCTCTCAGCGGACCAGTGAGTGCCCCTCATGCATTTTCCAGGTCCCAGAGGATTTCTGCGGGTTGAAAAAAGATCCTTTAGGCCGCACGACTTGCTTCCTAGAAAGTCTTGAAATGTTCACTTTCATTTTGCTTCCTGCGGCCTACAGCTCAGCGGCCTTGTTCTGAGGATTGGGAAAGAAAGAGAAGAAGGCACTTTACAGCTGCCACATGGAGGAAAGCCTCCATCGTTGAGTGCTGCTTGGTTCTGACTTTCCAGGCAGAGGCAACGCAGCTTCGAATCGAACTCGCTAGCGCAATCCCCAGTCCTGGTACGTCCTTGTCTTGCCGGCTGTCTGTTTTTCCCTGCGAGACCCTCAAGCATGTTATCAAAGACCAGGCCAGCTGCTTGCACCAAGAGACGAAGCTCGAAGGACCGACGACCTGTAGGGATCTCTTATGCTGCAACCTTGCAGAGTGTGCCCGAGTTCCTTTTGCTTCTGCCATCCATGAAACATGGAGCAAGCATAGGCTAACCCCACA